CAGTCGATGTAGTATTTCTAAAAATAGATTTCGCAATTTCTATATATATAAATAGAGATTGTAAATCATAAAGGAAACGAGTTCACCTTTGAAGAGTATATACAGCATTGTATACCTGTTCTTCGGAATTGCTATCGAAAACGGGCTGTTCGTCTGTCAGCATTTTTGTTAAAACAGGCATCAAAGCTTGGAGAAAACGATTATAATCTGCATTTTGATATACTTCGACAGAGTCTCTGAGATTAATAGCAATCGATAGTTTTGTTTTAAATGCTAAATATATTGATCAAAAAGCACCACATAGATTAACAACGCTCAAGAAGGAAATCAAGTATGTCTGAACTTAAAATAAAGCTAATGTTGCCCATACATATATGTGGATCCACTAATCTTGCTGCATATAATTCAGGAGTAGAAAGCTCGGAACCCGCCATATTAATTTGACAAAAAAGACAGTAATAAGATATCAATTAGGCTCGAGGGAAGTGAAGCGAAATTACAATGTTCAAAATAAACTACAATCCACGTAAAGAAATCCCGTTTGATTATTAAAAAAATGTCCAGAACAGAAAACTATCAAGGATGAACGCTTAACAAGATTTCGGAAAATGACCTTATATATGTGGTAAAATTTCTAGGTAGATATAAAAATTTTGGGGGATGCTAGTCAGAAATTCACTTCTACGTCATGATTTACTGATAGCCCATCACGGGTTAGCTGGCCAATCAAATCCACCTCTCTTGAAAATGAGATCATATGAAGTGTCTCGTATGAAAAGGGACCATTTTTACATTTTTCGAAAAATGAGTTTTATTAGATTCGTATAAATTTTGACATGATTGACATTTTTCAATTATAAATAAAAGTCAAATTTGCATAATAAAAAATCAAAATAATATAAAAGAAATATTTTATGAATCTTCCAAAAGCCAACATATCACAAGATTACTCGTTACTTTTGTTACCTTTAACCAATCAAAATTGTGAAATTAAATTAATTCATTAGTTCGAAAATCTATCTTAAAAATAAACCAAATGTAAAAATAGTCTCTTTTTATACGAAACACTTCATATGATCAAAAAAATCATGCTATTTGCTTAAGCTATACCGGTATTGTCAACTTTATTTATAATTATAAAAGCTTTATTTAAAAAAAATTTTATTAACAAATATAGCTTTTAATATATATATATATATTTTTTTTTTTTTTTTTTTTTTTTTTTTTACTTTTAAGATGTTTTATATTGCTAAGCAGATTTTATTAGTTGGATATATGAGGTTATATATGGAGTGTTGTCAACAAAGAATTTATTTTTACATATATCTTATTTTGAAATAATTGAGTTTAATTATTTGTTTTGATTTTTGAACTAATTCAGATTAACTAAATTTTATAATTTTGATTAGTTAAAAGTAACAGGTAACTATCAGAAATATTGTAATGTACTTGGCTTTGTATAATTTTTTTTCTAAATTATCTCTATTTTTCATTATACAAATCAATTTTTATTTATAATTAAAAAATATTAATTATGTTAAAATATATATGAATCTAATAAAAATTTATTATTTTAAAAAATATAAAAATAAGTTTTTTTAGTTAATGATATTTTATATAAGCAATTTTTTATAGTTTATAATTATATAAAAAATATAAATAAATTATATATAATTTTAGTTATTATCTATTTTAAATAGTTTACTATTAGCATACTCTTTCCGCTGAT